TAAACAATACACACATGATCAATTGCTTTGGTGTGTACATAAAATACATAACTAATACTCATACATCTATCTATTTATCTATCTAATTTCTCACTCGCATTTCTACCACCATATGGCCATAACTAACAAAAAAAGTCAATGTTTTGAGGTTAAGTTCAAAGCTTTGATAATGAGATGTTCAAATGACCTTTTGACAGTTTCTCTTGCAAATTTGTGTCACGAAAGTTTGTTGACTTTTTTGTTATCCTCATTTTTTGTTTTGTTTTGTTTTGTTTTTTTATTTTTGTTTTTTATTTATTTTATTTTTTCTTTATTTTTTTCTTTTTTTTTATATTTTTGTGTGTGTTTCTTTCCAACATTCACTTAGAATTTTCCAGCTTCAGGATGAATTAAAAATGTATCATTATTTCCTCAGAGTATTAATTCAATCATTTTAAACATTCATTCATTCAAATCATTCATAAAGAAAATACACAGATAAGCAGCTGAGCGAAAAAAAAACATAAATAGAGACACAAAGAGACAAATTAAGAACCCAATAAAGAAATACAGAAAATAATAAACAGACAACTTAATAAACAAACAGATATAAACAACACCAACACACACAAAAAAACATAAATAAATAAATAAATAAATAAAAAAAGAAAAAAAAAACAGCTACACACACACACACACAAAAACAGCTGAACTAGCTAAACTATACCAGTATCCACAACATAATGGGTTTACTCCAGGCACTTAGACCGCAATAACCCGTGATTTGCCTTATTTGGCGGAAAAGAGCTTGTTCATCAATTGGATAGTTTGCATCTCATTAAGAAAGCAATATGGTTGTTGTTGTTGATTTGTTGTTTTGGTTGTTTTTATCATTACTTTATTGTTATTTTCATCATCACTATTATCATTATCATTATCAGTATTAGTATCATCATAGCATTATAATTATTGTTATTACTACCATCATTATCATTTCATTAACTTATCATCATTATTGTTATCATTGTTATCCTTATCATCATCATTATTATCATTGCTATTTTTATCCTCATTCTTATTATTATCAATGTTACGATTGATGTTGATATTTTCATTATATTATTTTTGTTATCATTATTGATATTATTATTACTACTATTATTATCATTATTATCACTATCATCATCATTCTTATTATTGTAATTATTATCATTATCGCCGTTATTAACGCCGCTACCATCATTATCATTATTATTATTGCTATCATTATAATCACCATTATCATCATCATCATTATAATTATCCTTATCATTATTATTATTATCAATACTGCCTCTGGTATCTTATCCTTAAAGTGTTTATCATTATCTTCCTTGTGGAGAAAATGATGATACAAAAAAATATATACATATATAATTGTAAAGCCGACAGTAATAATAATCATAAACACATTTATTGAGCTTCATAACATGACCATAATCATAATCATAAAAAAGAGTAATAGCCACAATTCCAAAGTACCAGTAATGATAATTACGATAATTGCTTCATTAATAACATCTCGTATCAATTATATAACTGTTGGGATTTTTATTGTTGCCATTAATATTACATTTGCTAATTCCATCACTATCATTATCGTCATCATTAACACCATACTACCATTCTTCTTACTATTATTAAACCTACCGATGATAAGAAAGACAATCATGGTGATAATACTAACGATGATGGTCAACAATTGATATTTTCGTCATTATTCACAATTTCATTAACAAACCCTGCGTGTCTAAGTGTTTTAGCTTCCGTATACAAGGGGGTTTAAGTGTATTTTAGCTTCCTCGACTTACGACGGAGATCCGTTCTTACGATGGCGTCGTAACCCGAATTTTGACGTAAGTAGGAACACACCTTAAATACAGTACATGTGTGTATGTACATAAGAACCGCAGGCACTCACATATGCTAATACAGTATGTATACATGTATTAGAGTCAAGATCTAAAGCATAACACGACACTTCTTTGACGTACATGAAAGCATAACTAGGGCTAAAGGAACAGATGTGTGTGTGCGTGTGTGTGTGTGTGCGTGTGTGTGTGTGTGTGTGTGTGTGTGTGTGTGTGTGTGTGTGCGTGCGTGCGTGCGTGCGTTGTGTGTGTGTGTGTGCGTGCGTGCGTGCGTGCGTGCGTGCGTGCGTGCGTGTGTGTGTGTGTGTAGATACTGTAAATACTGTACATGATTTCTTGGGTCGAGACCGTCGGAAACTGAGGACCCCCTGTATATATATTTTTTATTTCTGAGAAGCTTTTACACCACAATACCATCCTGGAGGCTTATGACATCGAATTAATATTCTCTCAGTGCTTACAAAGATAATATATGAATATTTCATCAATACAAAGATGACACTTTCACTTTCAAGGATAACTTATGAGTGCAGTTTATGCAAATACCCAATTTTGCAAAGCTGTCCCACTCTTCATAATGTGGGTGTTTTACTAATAACTGTAATTCTGAAATACTATTAACAAAAATTATGCAAACGAGTTACTGAGTTTTTATTCTAAAAATACGTTATTATTAGACAATAAGTGTTATGCAACTAAAATTCAACATCGAAACGTAATATCCAGAGTGCAGTTATCCTATAACAGTAATAACAAAAATAATAATGATTAATATAGATTCTCATAGATTCGTAATATTATGACCGCAAGAGAGAGAGTGAGTGAGAGACAGAGAGAGAGAGAGAGAGAGAGAGAGAGAGAGAGAGAGAGAGAGATAGATAGTAGATAGATAGATAGATAGATAGATAGATAGATAGATAGATAGATAGAGAGAGAGAGAAGAGAATATGATTTTATGTGGTGGCCGACTGAAGTACAAGTAGTATTAGAATATGATAATTGCAATCAATATTGTTGTCTTTATCAGCATTATTATTGCTGTCATTATCATAATCATTATTCTCTATATCAACAATGTTATCACTACTATTATCATTATTATTATTACTGTTTCTTTTGCGTTATTACTGTCAGTATCATTATTACTATTATAATTATCATTATTCTCGTATCGCTATTTTTCATAAACAAAATACATATTTCTACTAAAACAATATTTACTAAAGAAATGTTGCCAATATATCAGAGAAAATTTCAAAATAGTATAGAGTACCCAATTCTTTCAAAATTTCTATCCTAGGACACGAACTTAAAACTTAATTCACTCCATTTTAAAACTACATCTTCATTAACGTCGCCACCACTTAGGATTTTGGATTTGAAGGAGACCCCGAGAAAACCCAATATTGACTTATTTAATTTTAATATGAGTAGCATGACTTAACAGTATTAAGGTTCGTGGGGTGAACTGAATCTATTCCTGTTGAGTGTGTGTAACAAAGTTGCAACGGCCATAGAAATAGTTTCAAGCATTTTTTTTCTATAGATAAGTGATAATAAACATGGCATATTACAGTATTCAATCTTAATAATATATACAATAACAACAAGGTATTTTCTCTTCCAATAATTCAATTAAAGTCCAAGGTTAACCTGTCTTTACACCCTCCCTTGGCCTACTAATTATAAATCAATAATAATTACAATGAATGTAATAAAAACAAACATGAGACGAGATCAAAACACTCCCATTCCTTCTGTATCTTTCCATTAAGGAGATTAGGTAATCAATCCTTCCATTCTTTCCCAATTTTACTTTGATATATAATTCCATTCCCCAATCTATTTCATTGTACAATCAGGACTGTCTCCTTTGACCTATTCTGTTGCTGTACTCAAAGACCCTAAAAAACAAGAGAAACGTAAACAAAATATATAGAAATTAGGGCTGGCAAATCATGGCGTTTTTGGTGTTGCCATATTTTACCCAACCTTTTCTTCTTTCTACATGCAGGAGAAATTGAGCAAGATCCAAATTATCAGAATTCAAAATATATGGATTTATAGTTATATCAATTCACTTATCAAGCATTACAACATCAATATCCACGTAAAACACGATTTTCAAATACCAGCACTTAACATACCTTCGTTTGGGAGTAAACAAAGGAGGACAAAATTACAAATTTTTCTCCCATATTGAATTATTCACATAAAAACAAACCAATCATTTCCTGGTGATTATTATAATTTTGCTACATTGATATGCTTTCTAAAATAAGAATAAATAAATAAATGTTTCGTTGGGTTTTGGCAATTGTAGACATCTTTACAATCATAATGAATGCACCTCTTTAAATGTCGAATCAATTATAACGAATATATCATTATCATTATTAATATTATTATTGTTACTGTTATCATTATTATTATTATTATTAATATTATCTTCGTCATTATAATTATCTTTATTATCATATTTAACATTATTACCATTGTTATTAGTACCGTTATTGTTATCATTATTGTTATCATTTTTGTTATTGTTACAATTATTGCTAGAATTATTATCATGAACATTAATATTATCTTCATTACGATTATTACTATTATTATTATTGTCACTGTTATCATTATATTTTTTCATAATGATTATTAGCAATAGTAGTAATAGTAGTATCACTTTTTATTATCATCATTATTATTGCCATTATCATTAATATTACTTTCATCATTATCAATATTATTTTTAGAATTATTTTTTTTATCCTTATTGTTATCACTGATGTTGTTCTTGGTATTATCAACATTATTTTCATTACTATTACTATTGTTATTATTTTTGTTAGTGTTGTTTTGTTTTCATTATTATTATCAATATCTTTATAGTTTTATTATCATTTTATAATTTTTTCTTATTATCAATATCATTATTGTTTAATTGCCGTTATGCAATAATGATAAAGATTATTAACATCCTTATCTTTATTATTATTATTGTCATTAACATTATTAAAATTATTTTCATTATTAGTACTCAACATCAATAATATTATTATCATTATTATCATTATCATTATTAACATCATCACCATATTATTATTATTATTA